TTCTCGGGAGCACACCATCTTTGGAGTCAAAGGTAGGTGGCATATCTCGCGCGCGCAGATGTCGTGCCTCTGCGACCGGACTCGGGTAGCTTCGGGGATGGCCGATGGGCGTTCAGGAGGAATAGTAGCCTGTCCGATGGTTGACATCCCGCATGCCTGGTGTGTGTTAGTCGGGCAGGCTGGTGGAGGGATGCTTACTTGTGGGATTGGGTTGGGGGCGGGGGAGTTGGGGGTTCGGATGGGTGGGATAGAGTGGGAGGACAGGCCACGGTCTCACCACCTTAGCCGGGTTGGACCCCTGCTATGGGAGGGGATTTGGCTTGGACACCCTTTTGTGATTCTTTTGACGTCCTGTGGTTATTTTGTGTGATGGTATGATGAGATGTGCCTGTCGTGGGAGAATGCTTGTCTTTGTGGTGACGTTGCAGGTTTCTGTCTTGTCCTCTCTTGGAGATGGCTATGACGGTCATCCAGTTGAAGCTTCGTCATGAGTTCTTCGCTATCATGAAAGCACGCCAAGTCTCCCGAGCTGGAGCCTCTCAATTTGAATGAAGACGAAATCTTTTGACTGCCATGTCTATCTTTACACACCCTAGAGCCTATTCAGACGTCGTCCTCGTTCTACACTTTCTAAGAGCAAGATATGTTCGTCACCCACCAAGCGAGTCGTACTTTGACAGAAGCAAGCGATCACAAAGCATAGAGCTCCCTCTGAGATGAAGTGTCTGTGAAGTGGAATACACTGAAAGCCAGGCAGTTGATGTTTATAACGACAGGGCCTCCATCCAAAAGGCTCAGAAAATTTTGGCTTGTTGCATGCGGTGGTATTCATCCTCATACCCGCATGACACGCGCAAGGGGTGACGACGCCTGCTACAACGTCTTTCAGCTTTCATGAATTTGTGCGCCTTCTGTTCTAAATATATGCAGCTGCTAGTTGTGAACTGCTGTGGGTTCTAACCTGTTGCAGACATCTCTTGAAAAGCGATGACTATGGTCGCACCAATTTCTTGTGTGGTACTTTATCTGGCTGCGACGTAGACTGCCTTTAATAGTTTGAAGAATAGGAGCTTCTTTGAGATGAGATTGTGGTAAGGCTGTTTTATATTTTGTATTTAAGTATCTGTTCCGCAGGCTTCATGATATCTGTCGCCAAACAATGACATATTTGCAGCATATTGTTAGATGTGAACTGTCACGAAGCGTGACAAAGATTCAAGTATTCAGCTGCGTCCAAATCAGTGCTTTATAGCTTCCTAAATGTGATATGACATTCAGTGCTGATATGCGCGCAATAAGCCAGGAGGGGAGGTGATGGCGAGCGAGGGGAATACTGATAATAGCTCTGGGTTGAAGTTACTTGCAAATGGTAGGTGTGCGTGTGAATGACCATCAGCTGGATTGCGCGCAGGTGCCAGAACCACAAGCCCATGGATTGCTGTTGGGCGATTTCTTGAGCGCCACCCACTTTGTGAGGTCAAGACCAAGTCATCTCTCAGGGCGGCTTCAGATATGTATTTGAGGTGATGTGAGCTGATTCATTAAGCCTGTCTGCTGTTGTTTCTTACTTTGCTGTTGCCTGTGTTGACCAGCATGAACTAGGTACCTTATAATTATATATTCTATCGCTAAGTTTGTTGGGGAGTCTCAAGCGCCAATGTCCGCATCCGTACTGATAGCTCCCACCATCATCGCAGGTTTCTGAGAATTTCCCCCTTTGCTTCGTCTGTTTGATACAGACGTGTGCTGCAACACTGGCAGCACAGAGCATAGTATCCGATTGAATATGTTACAGAAGAAAGTGATCAAAGAAAACGAGGGTGTTGTCTGATAGACAGATTTGCATCTACAGCCGCTATTAAAATCTCTTCACTTTGCCTCTTTAGACGGAGTAGGCAATAGGTATAGGACAAAGGGCGAAGATGCATTGCGACCTTGCGGGAATAGAGACGCTAAGCTGAGCAGGCAGCTCTTTAATACCTCGTTTTAAGACGAGTGAGTTAGGTGGCGGGATCTCCAGCGTACTTAAATGCAAATGAAGACGGTTGAAGTCCTGATTTGCTTGACAATTGTGTCCCATGTTGTCACAATTTGAAGTTGTCTCCGTCGCTCTCACGTAGAGACAAGCAGCGCTTGCTCCAGTAAAAGCCGAACGGTTGCAGTTTTCGTGATTGTAATAACGCATCACGGACTATACGAAATCCGTACTGCGAAGTTATTGGGAATCATACGCAGCGGATAGGAGAGTCTATGGACGATGGTACGAGGTATGATTCATCCGAGGTTTGAGTCTTAAGGTACGATGGGTACTTCAGAGACATGAAGATCTGCAAGTTTAAGCGCGGTCTGATCTGGAGTCTGACGGGAATGTTCAATGACGATTGCTGTCTCCTACATTTGAAAATCCTTGTGCTCATTTCAAATTTATACATGGACTCCCGAGGCTCTGCTAAGGTAGTGGAACTAGACACTGATGGGGCAAAAAGAAATGAACGAATTACCGACAGTCGGCGTTTTCAAAGAAGTGCAGTCAGCCCAGATCTCTATTCAGGAACAATTGATACTCCAGAGACGCATCCCATCTTGAAAAGAGCTGAGAAGGAGACGACAGAAGCCTGCTCCGAGCACGAAAAGGACCTCTTAGTACCACATCGCCATTGTGAAGCACATACCCTTCTCGCAGTATTTTCATTAATACCTACGAAGTGATGGATAATAATGATGAGTACTTAAGCAGACGATCCTTTAATGAATTGTGCGGGTGCTTCTAATGACAGCAGTGTTAATGTTGAGGCGTGTGTGGAAATAAATAAGGTAATAACTCAACCAGAGAGAAGCCTTACACATTTACTTCTACGGATTGTGTTTTGAAAAGGTAATTTTTGTGTATTGCAAATAGGCACATTTGGGTGACTCCTTTAAGCATTACTATGCGATCACAATCATAGCCGTGCGACAGGCGAAGATTTCAATCCTCGACGTGAGAATCTTAATTCACAAGGTCGTCCATGTGTTAGAGATAAAGGTCTATACCAAAGGTAGATATAAAAGGTCTCAGGATGGCGAATTAAGCGTTCACCCACCAACGCCGCCAAATGTACTCGAACCCCTAAACCCGTGGGGTCTACTTCGAACTTAAACTTCAAAGTTGTGCCACAGGCGAGAACGATTGCTGGTGTGATACATACAGAACATACACATTGCCACATTTTACACTAGGTCTAGACTGTCGTTTCTTGCATAATCCTCACAGGATACTTGAGGAAGACCTGGGATGACGAGAGTTTTCAGAAGACATAACGTGCCACAGTTTCTAGTATGTGTCAGGACGTCGATGTTTGGTGTGGTTCGAATGGAGAGAGACATTGGAGCCTGGTGTCAGCTTCGACAAACAACCAAAATGTACATCAACTGAATAATATAGAGAGGACGGACGGTAGTAAAGGCAGGCGAAAATTTGATATAAGCATCAGAGGAGTTCCTCATATATCAGATATGGCAAAACACGCCAAATACTCATACAGCCCTTGAGTGAAAACTCTCTGGGAGCCGTAGCAAACGATCGGCGCATTTTCTTCCAGCAGAAATAGAGGAATGGTATCATTTGATCTGAGTAGATACTACTTTTATAGATGTTGATTTCGCGATTGAGCGGTGTGAGAATTACCAACGTAGGTTTGACATCGCAGTACATGTCTGTCAAGAAACCGCAAAATAACTGCAGCTTTATGGCTGCTCTTCTGCAACACCCATGTCTACGCATGTTCACATAGACCCGAGTGATAACGATGGCGAGAGATCACTATCAAAGACGCGTTGTTAGCGTTTTTGATTCTTGACTAAGGGGGTGGCCTCCGTCCTCAATTATGAGAAGCAAAACGTTCGTTCTCAAGAACGCTGGGCCCATCGACTTCCAGATTCGAACTGAGTGCCTTTCAGCTAGAAAGCCCTGATTGAACTCAATGCTCCTTCCCGTCACCTAAGCCTATTTCGCTTCTCTCAAACACCACTGAGGGGAGCGAAGGTAGAGTGGCTGTTAGGTATTGCTTACTCCCGTTTGTCTCCCACCGAGTACACGCACATCAAAACATGACTTACTGTTGGGAGTCGATCGATCCGGATAGAAAACAGGTCGAGATCTCGCCGTCTTCTTTCGGTCGAAGCTTACATGAACAAATGTCATTTCCACGATGAGACCCCGGCCGTTAGACGGCTGACAATTGGAAAACCTTTTCCAAAAGCAAGGAAGCCAGAGGCAAAGAACAGAACACGGCAGAGCGCATCCAGAAGAAAAAAAGGTTGTCCTCAATTTCGCTGGGTCTGTCGATCTCCAGATTCGAACTGAGCGCTTGACGCGAGCAAGGGGTGCCTGTCCTGGCCTGCTTACTGACCAGCTGACTATATTGCAACTGCTTTTTATTACTTTAGATAAAAGGTGACTGATATAACAGCTAAAATATGTAGGATTGGATGCCACTGCATGCCTGCCACATCTGGCGGCCTCGCGATCACGCAGACTCTGCTCTGGGATCGACACCTCGACCAGCCCGACCGTCATGAGATCATAACCACAATCCCTACTACCCAACAGAGACTGACTTAGCACTAATAGTAATAAGCGCATCTATACCGCCTTGAACTTTCCCCTAACTTCCCCTCTATGAGACCGCGCAGGAAAGAAAAGCAAAGAACGAAGGGAAACAACTAAAACGTAAGTCCAGTTGAACAGAAAATGAGTCAAACTTCGACGAAAGCGATAGCGGAACGCAAAAAAGTAATATCCTCAATTCACTTTTCACTGGGTCTTTCGACCAAATCAGACTCGAACTGGGCGCCCCGAGGCGAACGAGCACTGGTCCCCGTTCTTCTTAAACGTTAGGTACCTTACTCGCTGACCAGCTAGACCATAGCCTCTTTTTATAGGTTTTGTAAGCTAGGGCAGCTTGTGCCCAGCCCGGCGAGGCCTGCTGAATTGTTGGAAGATGTGGCAGGGAAGTGGCTTATATAAGTTGCTGGGGAAGGGGCGCCTCCTGCCCAGGCAAGAGCTCGGAAGGGCAGCCGCCATCTGTCTCCCACAGCCTGAAGACCTCGCAAAGAGGCCGCAAGTGCTGCCAGATTGGCATGAAGCTGGCGAAGATTCTAGGAGGGAATCTGAAGAGTGATTCAGCACCGAGGATAACAAACGAATCGAAGGAACGCCGACCAACTCACGTTCTGTCCTGCCGCTCTCCCATAGTCAAATGAGCCTGAGTCTGGGCCCGGTTGACATTTCTGGCATTGTCCGGAAGAGAAGAAGAGCACGGAGAACAGATCAAGGAGCTATCACAGGTAGGACGAGGTCGATATCTGGGTCGGATGGTACTGCATGCTGCCCGATATCAAGATGGTGAGCATTCGCATGGCTTGTCTTGTACCCACACTTGTAAACATGCAATGTGGGAAGGACATCGTAAAGTGCAAATTAAGAAATGAAAGATTCCATAGCTAGGCTAAGCATACTGAGTCTTAGTAGCCCTTTTTCATACGAGACGCGCCAGACAACGCCATTTGATATAGTACAGCCCATTTCATCCGTTCGATACATCAAGCATTGCTCTCGATCCACTCCTCAAGCCTCTCGACAAGTTCTGTCTTCTTTCCGGCCGTGCTCAAGCCTCTCGCAGCAAGGACATCCTTCAGGTCTGCAACGAGCATTTTGCCCAGAGTGTCTGCATCAGCAGCGGCCTTGAGCTGCGCCGTGGTCATCCCCGATCCAGAAACCTTAGCCTTCGGCGCCGCCTTGGCCCTCTTTGCCGGCCTGGCGTCCTCATCGTCTTCCGCATCTCGCTTGATAGCCTGCTTAGCCATCACATTCTTGGCTTCCGCCTGCAGCGTCTCAGCCCACTCTTCGAGGTATCCGCCGGCGCGCTTACTGATGGCCTTGTACTTGGGTTCCGTCAAGTCCTCGGCTTTCTCAGGGTACTCCTCCTCGAGCGCGAGGACCTGGAGGATCTTGTAATGCCACTGGAGCGAAGGGTTCGGGTACTTCTTGGGGTTGTACATGGCTTTGGGCAGCTGCAGCTGTTGAACGATGACACGCATTTGGTCGGTGAGCTCGTTGGTGCTGCGGACGAGGTCGGCGGGCGGCTCAGGGCCCTCGCGGAGGTCATCGGCAAAGGGGAGAGGTGTCAGCCAGAGGCCTGCGGGTAGGTAGGGCGTGGTGGAGTCGTCTTCGGATTGCTCGTGGGAGGGAATGATGGCAACGAGAATCGGGTTCGCGTTGGAGCGAGTGATAGCCCATGCGACTCCAATCTTTTTGGACTTGAGCAGCTTCTGCCAGAGGGCAGTGAAGACGCGGGTCGAGCCGACGTAATCCTCCTCTGAAGGGAAGATGAAAGTTGACTTCTTGACGCTGGCCCAAAATGGGAGCATGGACCGCGGCTTGAAGCCGATGATGCGGATGATGGGGGTACCAAAGTCCTTGAGGGACTTTTGCTCCTCGGTCGTGAAGTGGATGTACTCGCCGCCAAATTTGTAGGCCTTTTTGAATTCGGGCTTCTCGACTGTGCGGGCACTATCCTCTGCAATCCGAGTGGTTTCGCCTGTGGCGAGCTGGGGCTTTTCGCCGTCAAGCCAGATGTAAGATGTCCTGGCGGGTGTTTGGCGGTGGAGAATGTTGTAGCCCTTGACGGAGATGCGTAGCCCTGGGGCGATCTCGAAGGGGAGGTTGGAGAAGAGGGAGCGCTTGGGGGTCTCCTTGGAGTTGATATTTGAGATTAGGGAGTTGAGTAGGGTGATGCCGTCTCCTGATCTCGAGTTGCGGATCTCTGAAAGATTTGCCTCTGCTGTTTGGTCACGATAGATGATATCCTGTCACTGTTAGGCGGGAACACCAAGGAGAGTGCGAACTGCTTACATCGTAGAACCTGGTGAGGTCGAACTTCTTGTCGTCCCTGGTGATAGGGAACAACTCGATGATAACACCGAGGTCGTACAGATCCTTTGCGCGCACGGCAGAAGCGGACTTGGCCGCCTTGTCATCGCCGTGAGGACTGTCGTTGTCGGTGATGATGAACAACCTCCTGCTTCCGAAATTCGCAGCCTTAGTTGTGAAAATCTGGTTTGCGCAGAAGAAGACGTTCGCCATCTGGACACTCTCATTGGCTGGCACCAACACCTCATCTTCGTCTTCACCCTCCTCCCCATCGACCCCCACTAGCGTCTTCAGCGCCTTGACGTCCTCTGCTGCGGGGACGTCGAGGTCGGTGAAGAGGTAGCAGTGAGGGTAGCCCAGACCACTGCGACCGCTTTCCTCCTGGAATTTGGACTTTTCGGTGCCGAAGAAGAGGATGCCCATCATGTCCTTGGGGTTGGAGATGATGCGCTGCTGCATAAGCTGGTAGGCGCATTTCAGCGCGGCCTGGACGGCGCTGTCCTTGTCTGCCTTTTTGGAGTTTGATGCTGGAGGCGGCTGCAGCATTGACGAGCTCACATCAATGGCCAGAAGGACGGCGTCCTTTTGCGCCTTGTAGTCCTGGGAGGGGTCAGCTGTAAGTCATGGCGCTCAGATGTGGGTTCGTTCGTACAGTCTCATCGAGCTCCTCCTCCGCATCGTCATCCTCCTCTCTCTTGTAGTCTTCGCGATCAGCCATTGCGAGAACCTGTGTGAGTTGGTGTTAGTTTTGGCGTTGATGGTCGCGGCGGGCGACGGCTATTTCATGCAGTTGCGAACTCGGTTGGGCCCTTCAGTGCAACAGGCAGCTCCAGGCAGCAGACGCGACAGGGGCAGCTGTTCTGGCGCGGACCTCGCTAGCGAAGCTCGCAGGTACCCGCGTGCGAGCGCGCGACCACGTGATCTATATTTCGGATTACGCAGCGTGCTATTGGCCGAAACCGACTCAGGTTAAACAGATACCTAGAATGTAGCGGTGACATCGGCTTCTGCTCAAGTATCTCTGTATGAGCTCGGTCTTGCAGGGGTGCTGCTCGGCATTCGGTGGGCTCCTGTCCAGATCGGGATTTCCTTCGTCATCGAAGCCGAAATCCACATGGCCTCGTCCAGCATCGCCCACACATCGCCAGGGTCCACGATTGCCACAGCTATGCTTTCTTAGACCACTCTGAACCATCACCACTTACCGACCGTTTTCTGTATTCTCTCTTTGTACACTATATTTTCGTACATCGTCGTTGTAGAGCAATGGCGTTTAAGTACTCAACAGGCCAGCTCTCCAGGAGCTTGTCTAAGGCGACAGCTTCAGCGCGCAATGGCGCCGCACCTCTAGCTTTGGCTCTGCCGAAGCAATCAGCACCTCAATTGAGGTCTATGGCGACCGTTCCGCCCGTTACACAAAACTCCGCCGGTTCCAAGGGTCCGACGGCCATGGTATTCCTGAACATGGGTGGCCCTTCAACGACAGACGAAGTGGGCGACTTCCTGAGCAGACTCTTCGTATGCCCCTCCACGAACCCCCAGACGCTCCGCACGCTGACAATGCGCAGGCAGATGGAGACTTGATTCCTCTCGGACGCTACCAGAACTACCTCGGCCCCTTCATCTCGAAGCGACGAACTCCCAAGATCCAGAAGCAGTACGCAGAAATCGGTGGCGGTTCCCCCATCCGCAAATGGTCCGAGTACCAGAGCGCAGAGATGTGCAAGATCCTCGACCAGATCTCTCCCGAGACCGCACCGCACAAGCCTTACGTTGCGTTCCGTTACGCCGATCCCCTGACCGAGGAGATGTACAACAAGCTGCTGGATGATGGTTTCGGAAACGGAAAGGGCGGAAGAGCTGTTGCCTTCACACAATACCCGCAATACTCGTGTTCGACGACGGGAAGCAGCATGAATGAGCTGTGGAAGTGGCGGCAAAGGTTGGAGGGCAAGTCAGCCACGGACGCGACGCCGGGCGATGGCACGATCTCGTGGAGTGTTATTGACAGGTGGCCGGTACATCCGGGCCTGGTAGAGGCGTTCGCGCAAAACATCGAGGCCAAGCTTCTGGAGTACCCCGAGGAGAGGCGGAAGGACGTCGTCCTGCTATTCTCAGCACACAGCTTGCCCATGTCTGTGGTCAACAGAGGAGACCCGTATCCGGCCGAGGTTGCTGCTACCGTCTACGCTGTCATGCAGCGCCTCAAGTTCTCCAACCCCTACCGCCTGTGCTGGCAGTCTCAAGTCGGCCCGTCCGCATGGCTTGGCCCCCAGACCTCTGACTCGGTCGAGAACTACATCCACAAGGGCCAGAAGGACCTGGTCCTGATCCCTATTGCGTTCACCTCCGATCACATTGAGACTCTGTACGAGCTCGACCTGGAGGTTATCGGAGATTCAGGAAGCCCCGAGACTGTGAAGCGCGTTGAGAGTTTGAATGGCAGCCCTGTCTTCATCAAGGCTCTGGCTGATATCGCCAAGGCTCACCTTGACAGCGGCATTTCCTGCTCACCACAGATGGAGCTTCGCTGCCCCGGGTGCAAGAGCGAACGTTGTGCTGAGTCAAAGAAGTTCTTTGCGGGTCAACAAACGAAGCTGTTTGGAGCTCAGGAGAAGGTACTGGCGCAATAGGAAATATTTTCTTAAACCACAGCGGGAGACTGTAATCATGTACTTCTATAGCAACCGGGATCTGTTAGGGTCAAAACGCAATACTGGCGGGGGCAGGAATAAAAATAAGTTCAACTCTGGTCGCAATGCGTCCCATAAAAGATGTCTACTCGATTGTTGCCGGGCGGTTGAATCCATGTTGATGACGCCACCACACTTCGAGTGTGCCACTAACAATTTCCCTGGCTGAAGTTACTCCACCAAACCAGACGATTCCCGGAGGGTCGTCTCTCCCAACCCATGTCCTAGCTGCAGCTCACACCCAATTTACAGAAGACCATGTTCAGCTCAAGAACATTTTGCAACTTACCCAGAGCTCATACTACTATTTCCCGACGAACAATGAGCTCCCAAGAAAAGATTCATTTCGGGCCCTTTGAGGTCACTGGGCAGGTTAGTCTCGAAGAAGATCTCGGTCGTTGAATGGTCGTATGAGATGGGCATTGGAGCGTCTGGATTGCGCATCTTGCCATTGGAGTTCAAAACAGCTGCCGCTCATCGTCAGCTGCCTGCTTCAAACCGTGATCTCGAGCTCAATTCGGAAACATCAGAAACAATGGCTAACACAAGACAGGTCTTCTACAAGACAGCCCACTCCTTCGCCCTCGTCAACCTCAAGCCTTTGCTCCCAGGCCACGTCCTCATCTGCCCTCTCAAGCCTCACAAGCGCCTCACAGACCTCCCGCCAGCGGAAGTAACAGACCTCTTCACCACGACGCAGCTCGTGCAAAAAATGCTCGCGCACCGCTATTTCCCTTCCTCGTCAGGCACGCCGGCTGCCCCGGAGGCAGGCTCCTTCAACATAGCCGTGCAGGACGGCGCGGACGCGGGCCAGACGGTTTCACATGTTCACGTACACATTATCCCGCGCGTACCCGGCGAGACAGCGAAGGACGACTCAGGACCGAGGGATGAGATTTACGAGCAGATGGCGAGCGAGGAGGGCAACATCGGGGGTGCGCTGTGGGATGCGGAAATTGGGAAGAGACCCGAGCCCGGGGGCAAGTTTGCGAGAATTGAGGATGCGATGAGGACGGCGAGAAGTATGGAGGAGATGGTTGCGGAGGCTGAATTGTACCGGGGCTTGTTGAAGGAGATGGAAGCTGCTGGTGAGAGGTAGAATTGAAATATGTCTGGTTAGAACGTAGGATGAAGGATAAGAGAAAGTGTACGGCATTTGTCTGTGTTGGCTGTGAATTTAACGGGCCATGAGGTGCCGGTTGTGAGATCACATGGGATTTCTCACTTGCAGACTGCAATCTGCATTTACGCCTCTTTGATGCAAGTTAATAAGAAGCATTGGAACGCATTAGTACGCAATTTAATTTCAAATGTCGTCTTCAAAACATCAACTGGGCTCACCGCAACTGCTCTCAAGGCTGGCGTTGAGCATCCCTTCACGTCATCAGTCTGTAAGATACAGTGCGCTAAACTCATCTCACTCAATTAGCACAGTATGAAGGTGGACCCACTCGCACTCAACGCGTTCAGGACGAAGCGCGTCCCGTCGCGCGTCTCCCATCCCACCTAGCTTGTCACTGCAGCGACACACTTTCTGCAATTGCAAGTCGAAGCAGCCTTGGACGTCGCCACGAAGACAGCCTGGGACCAGATCTTGTCTAACCAAATAACTACTCAAAATGCCGAGCGCTTCATCACCCATCACATTTCCTGCCAGCTCCTCACCACCCGCAGGGAAGCGCGCGCGCCCAGCAGCAGCCGACCCGACAAAATCCAAGCCGAAAGTCAAGAGCGGATTTCTGCTTGACGATGATTCCGATTCCGACAATGACACCCAGCAACCACCATTGAAGAAGCAGATCCTCGGCTTTGGATCGCGCAGTCAACGACCAGCTCCTGTTACACTCACCCCTGACGAAGAGATTCTCGAGCCATCAGCGCCGCCACCCGCGAAACAGAACAACAGCGCTCCCACGGAAACAGAGCCTCCCCGCGCCGAAGCGCCTCGAAGCCTTGCGTCTACGTTGTTGAGCTCTACACCGTCGATTTTCAAGAGCGCGCGAACCTTCAAAGTAACGACCTGCACCGGCGCCTCTACGACGATCAAGCAGCGGAAGCCGACTACCAACACTTCATACGAGAACATCGTTGCTGCGAGATCTAAGACGAAGGAAGGGAGGGCGAGGCGCGCATATTATGGTATCGATATCAACGAGCTCATCGACAAGGCCAAGAAAGAGGCTGCGGAAAAGCCAAAGCCGCAAAGGAAAGAGAACGATGTACCCGTTCGGTCAGTGGAGGAGCCAGTGGTCGGCAAGCATCAGAAGAAGACTCTGCTCTGGACCGAGAAGTACAGAGCCAAGAACTTCCTCGATCTCTGCGGTGACGATGGCACCAACCGCATGGTCCTGCGCTGGCTCAAGCGATGGGATCCTATCGTCTTCCCTGGCATCGCAAAGAAGGCGCCCATCTCGAGACGGCCAGGCGCGAAGCAGGGTCAGCAGGAGGAGGAAAAGCCACACAAGAAGATTCTCATGTTGACGGGCCCCCCTGGTCTTGGAAAGACAACGCTGGCGCATGTGTGTGCGCGGCAAGCAGGATACGATGTTATGGAGATCAATGCCAGTGACGACCGAAGCAAAGACGTCGTCAAGAACCGCATCAGGACCTCTCTAGGAACCGAAAGTGTCAAGACGGTCGAGAACGTCAAGACCAAGGATGGTGAACAACAGCAAAAGGTTGCAAAACCGGCATGTGTGATTGTTGATGAGGTGGACGGTGTAGTCGGCGGAGCTGGAGCATCAGGAGAGGGGGGGTTCGTCAAAGCCCTTATCGATCTCGTGTTGTTGGACCAGAAGAATGGCTCAGGAGTCGTGAACAACAACCGCAAGAAGAAGAAGGGCGACGACTTTCGTTTGATGAGACCGCTTATTCTCATCTGCAACGACGTGTATGCTCCGGCACTGAGGCCTCTCCGACAGTCAGGTATGGCTGAGATTATCCATGTTGGAAAACCCACCATCGATGCTGTTGTCACGCGGTTGAAGGCGGTCTTCGATAAGGAGGGTGTTCCCTGTGAGAAGGATGCTGCTCGCAAGATCTGCGAGGCCGCTTGGGGTATGACAAGTGGCATTGATGCGAAACGAGGAGCCGAGAGCGGAGCCGAAGGCGATCTTCGTGGCGTAATGGTTGTTGGTGAGTGGGTTGCCGGACGTTTCAAGGCTGCTGCGAGCTTCAACGACAAGTTGACAAGGCAATGGCTTGAGAAGAACGTTATGCACGATCTTACCAACGGCGCCGGCGGAGCAAGGGGTCTTGGACGAGGAAGCACGAAAGACATCGTGTCACGAATCTTCCAGGAAGGCGGCGGCTTCCCGAAGCAAGCTTTGGACAGCACATCACATCTCAAGCACAAACATGAGCAGCCCAAAGCCCAGCTGGGTTTTGCCGAGTACCACAAGAAGAACGCCATGGAACGTTTGCGACACATGGTTGACACCAGCGGCGAAGTCGACCGTATCATGACTGACATCTTCCTTGAGTACCCCAACCGCGAATTCAACGACGACTCGTTCTTGTCCAAGCCCAACGAGGCTTACGATTGGATGCACTTTCTGGACACTTGCTCGTCAAGAACCTTTTTCAGCCAGGACTGGGAGCTGGCACCATATCTAAGCCAGCCTATCCTTGCTTGCCACTCTCTCTTTGCCTCATCGAAAAAGTATCAAGTCAACATGGGATACGACAAGAAATGGGGCGCAGATGCACAGGAGAACGACGAGCCACCCGTGCCATTTTCTGGTCCTCAAGCGGACTATGCTGCCCACCAGGCATTGAAGGAGAACAAGTCTATGCTACAGGCCATCCAGGCACAGCTCACCCCTACGTTGGGGAGGTCTTTCCGAAGCCCGGAAGATGTCGCGACAGACTTTCTACCGTATCTTGTTCGCATGGTATCACCAGATGTCAAGCCTGTCGTTATTGGCGGCAGCGGCACGAGCACAGCAAGTGTACGAAAGGATACGGAGAAGGCCATGGTCAAACGCGCCGCTGAGATCATGGCGGAGGTTGGCATCGAAATGCAAAAGGGCAAGATTGAGACAGATTCGTTGGTGAACAGGGGGCCTCAATGGGTGTACCGCATGGAGCCGTAAGTCATCATTTGTCCCCTCATGTACAAGTTCGCACTAACGTATCCTCAGTGACCTTGACGCACTTGCGATATTCGAAACAGCAGGAGGCCTTCTCCTCTCCAGCTCCGCCCCAACACGTTACGCCGTCCGCCAATGCCTCGACCAAGAACTCCAAAAGACCGTCATTCTCCGCGAGGCGGCCGCGCGACAGGCGCGCTTCAAAGCGGGCAACCCCATGGGACTTGAGGAAGCCCCTGTGCAGGTGGACAAGGAGAACATCATTAAAGAGCAGGAGAAGGCTCTAGAGAAGAGCGTGAAGAAGGACTTTTTCGGGAGGATCATCCCGACACGGCCTCTGGGCGAAGTGGATCCGAACGGAACCAAGAGGAAGAAGCAGAGGGAGGAGACGAAGGAGGATATCAAGGTCTGGGTAACGTACCATGAAGGATTGAATAATGCGGTCAGGAAACCTATCTCGTTCGGGGAGTTTATGAAGGGGTTGTAGAAGCGCTTTGGGTATGAGGGATGAATACATTATGATGTTTTGCCTTCACAATTGTTACTGCTGAGGAGGGTTCAGCGTCGTTTTGGTCACGATGAATGGCATGTATTGCAACTAAACTGCCTCTAATTCCAGGTCACCGCGTCATCCTCTCGCCCATCATCCCACTCCGAGATGCATAGCCGTTTAACAGCTGCCGGCGCAGCAGCCTCCCTCGGGCAGGTTTCCGCCGCTATCAACGTGTCAGTTTCCGTGGTCTTCCAATTCTAGGCTTGACCTCTCTAGGGGTTTACTCACGGGCAGAAGCAGCCGACGGGGCAGGGCTCGTTGGAGTTGTTGCAGTGCTTCAGGTTGCTGGCAGCGCACTGGGCCGGTGTCAGAGGCTTGGGCGCGGCGATGGCGCTGACGGCGGCAACGGAAGCGAAGACGGTGAGGAGGGTAGAGAACTGCATTTTGGCGGTTGGTTTAGGGGCGGTTTGTGGTTGGAAAGGTTTGTTGAGTTGAGATGAGACTTGGTGCGTGGATGGGGTGACGGGTAAGAGCAACATAGGAGGAGACTGGACAGTCTTATAGCTTTCTTATCCACCAGCAGATCTCTTAGAACACAAACTCCCCGTATGCCAAATCGCAGGTCGGCGGCGGTGGTATCCATCGACCAGTAGCTAGACTTCAAGGCGGAGCAGTCCGCCTAGGAAAACTCAATGTCCGCGTACCCGATTGTATGGAAGGGCACTTTCCCCTAAATCCGCCCCGTGTAGGCATCACGTCTCCAGACTACGGCCAGCTTGGATACTCGCATTTGCTCCACCTTTACCGCCTCCCACATAGTGTATGAGCCAGCAGCAATATAACTGACATGAGTTTCAGCAATCTGAAAAGCCTCCATCGCGAACTTCAAAAAACCCGAATGTTGCCTGAAACGTGGGCGTAGGGCTGGGGACGCCGATGCGGGTATCCTGGGATGAACGTGGGGGGAGTAGGTATGAGATGAACTGGGGGGCAGATCCCAAGTTGGTGGGAGTTGAGGGCATCCCTGCCCAACTACCGATTGCAAAACTATCCCGCCGGCTACCGGCCAATGGGCTCAGACGGTAGGAAACCGCGAGCGAAAGGTTGAGTTGCGTAGAGGACGGGTACGCGATGTTGTCATCCTTGCTCAAAGACTCAATTTCATTGAGCTTTCGCATCAACTGGAAACCGTTTCCCCTGGATAAATAGACTTCATGATAATAGCCTAATTGTATTGACGGGCAGCAACAGTCGACTTGAGAATGATGCAGAACAAAAGGCATGTCCAGACGAAAGTGGCAAGTTGAACAGCAGCGAGCCATTTCCATCCCGTCGGCAACCATTTCCGAGATGATTCTCGAAAGAGGCATGGGCCTAGTTGAGTTGCAAGACCTATCCTTTCCGCCCCGAGTTGGACAAAGGAAATCTCGCCTATTAAGGTTCTCGCCAGGCCGTTACTGACTCTGTCGCTCATTACGTACACGAGATGATGCTCCGGCACGCTCGGGTCAACAGCAGCTCCATCCGCAGTTACCATTTTAGGACCTGCGACGGCTGTCAAGTTGTGGAATATGCCGTCGGTGGGTATTTGGCGGACTTTCGGGCTGCGGTTGTAGTCTAGGTAGTTGCAGCCTGCTACTTGCAGGGGATGGGTATGCTTATGAATTGTAGTCATCTTCTGACTTATGCTATGTTGCGGTATCTATAACATCATTAGGTAGCTCATCCGCCACAAAAACGACTCGCTGTTTGGCGCAATATGTTGTCTACAGTCTTTGATATTTCGCCGAATTGAAATGCAAGCGGGAAAGCCCGTACAGCTGATTGCACAGAAAAGAGAGACATGTCCGTGTCTATCTCTGTCTCTCTCCCTCTTTTCCGTGTGTGTGTGTGTGTGTGTGTGTGTGTGTTTCTTATCAATGAGGCGTTGAGCAATAGGCTATCCATTAACTTGAGCAGTACAACATAGTCTCCACAGCAGACATCCATGCGAGTTCATCCCTCCAGTATGCTTAGATGAATTGCAATATTGTGTAATTGACACATCCATAACAACGATCAGGGCGCCTTGACTTTTACATGGCCCTCTGCCGTCACCTTGTAGTTCGTTCCTTCTTTGTAGAGCAAATGAATAACCGCGGCAATGAGAGAATACAAGTCGGGGTTCTCGCGATTCTTGGCTTTGACGTTATTAGCCCATCCGTAAGCGAGATCCATATCGTCAAACATGGCTCCAAAGAACGTCAGATGAAAGAACTGGAACGTGTGGTGAGTAAAAAAGATTGAAAACCCCTTTCGTTTAGTTAGAGAGCCTACCTCATGCAAAACGTTCGTTGTGAAGCAGTCTCGAAGCAAGCCATCCACTGGGCGAATATCCTTTTTCTCCCTCTCACTGATCTCTCGAAACTCATCGGGGGCTGTTTTCGCTGTGACTTTGTTGAGTGTTTCCTGCGTCCAATCTACGAATCCTCTACTGCGCTGGAATTTGATCCACAGGGGGTGAAAGTTGATCGATTCGGGGACTCTCAAACGCTGACTGGTTGGCGTGTTCAGATCACGCGCAGTAACGGCCTTGACTCTAACGCCCTGTACCTTAGTCCACTCTCCTGGCGCTTCTTCTTGTTTGAGGAAATTGACAAAGTCGTGGGGATTTGTGAGTCGAGCTGATCGCACCATATCATACGGGACTTTGTCAGGGTTGAAAGCGTTAATATCATCTCTCCAAGTGATTTCTGGTCGACAAGTGATGATCTGGTGATTTACTTAGTCAAACATATCATGGAATGTGATAAAGCGAGCTCCCACAACATAAGAAATTTGGTCTTGTATGATATTGAAACCAAAGGTTGGCGAAACTCACAAAGTCAAGGAAATGATCATCGGAGTTTTCAAGACGTGACCAAGCTGGAGACTCATCATATCTCGTATTCTCACCGCCGTCCCTGCCGATAGGACCATTCATATTGGCGATTTGGTCGAACTTCACTGCAAATAATAAGAGAAATCAGTAATTCAGTTAAATGTTTTAGGCAATAGTTTCATAGTACTTTTCGCAAAGACGCAAGGCCTCGTGGGATCAAGGAATCGATAGAACTCACACTTGACGTCGGTTGCGGCTGTATTGTAGTTACCCTTCCCAACAAGGGGCTCTAGGGCAGCCTTAACAGTCCGACCCTTCGTGGGGATTTTGCTCAGTGAGTCTTTAATGTGGGAAGCGGCGGCTGCCGCCCACGCTTTGGCGTCTTCGACGCCTTTGATAATGGCATTCTCCAATTCCTTGTCGTCCACAGTGATCTTCTTCGTTGAATCACCGTTCTCGAAGATTTCCTTTCTGTCTAAGTGCTTGTTAGTAGGCAGAAGAAGTCTTTACCTGGCTACATTCCAAAGCCAAGGCAAATTCGGATCAAATAGCTCGCTGAATAAATAATGATTCGGCGAGTTGATCGGATGACTGACGTACAACAAGACTTGTGCAACGTCCAGCTAGCTGCCTCAGCGGCAAGTGAGCCTTGCAAGACGAGAATGAGAATTTGAAGAGGGCGCATGCTGACTGTTGATCCAATGAAATGAATGTTGGTGCAACTCCCAGTGGTGAATCGTGATAGTTGGTGGATGAGAAATCTTCGACTGCATGAGCACGTTCAGCTTGTTCTTCTACTTCAAGATGAGCTCAAACCAGCTGGCAAGACACCATTTATACAGAAGAGAAACCGTTCTATTAGTGACTGAAGATGGACCGTAGAACGGCACCAAGTTGGTCCTGGGCCTTGGGACTGAGACCGACTGAAAAGGCAACGCCACCCGATCCCAAGACCCGGAGGAATTCTGGAGGCAGTAAATGGAACCATTGCCCAAGAATAGCCTACTTGGCTACAGAAATTTCTTGGATTTGGGCGTCCAAGACTGACCTTGACAGCTTCCAACCATACGCCTCCAATGACTGATCGACGCATGATCAAAATTAACGAGGCTGATCGGCCGAATGGAAATTGTAATGGGGGTCTGAGAATCGATTCCGTTGCAGTCTGTTGGAGATTGAAGGCTCTTATGGGGTCTGTTGGCCCGGACTTGCGACCCGGAGGTGGGCCGGAGCGACAGTGATGGGGGCTATCGGCCCCAAGGTAGTTACCGGCGTGCTGCGCCGGTGCGGCTTTGATTGAAAATCACCCGACTCTGGAGCGGCTGGGCCATTATTCAAGGAATAGTGACTGATTTCGAGGGCTCTGTTGGTTGCTTCGGTCAACATGTTGAGCTTGGCATCAACATTGACGCTGCCCTGTTGGCGTGGGGTCTGAGGCTAGACTCCAACACGATGACCAAGATAGATGACAGCCCCCAGAGCAATGGAAGACAGACGGCAAGTTTTCGTCAGTGAAGTCCGCTGAGAAGATTTGCGGGACATTGGCGATAACTTGTCCACCACTAATTGTTACCTATCTGTATAAGGTAAATTTAGGCCGGCGGCTGGCATCGTAGGAGCCATGTAACAAGCTTCCTGACCATCCCATCTTTCTCGTAGAAGTTGACTACAAAGGCTTTTGCGAACCTCCATTCAAAACTACTTTCAATCTATTGCTGTTACTTCCATTTCTGTGTTACAGCTATTATGAAGCCGTACACTCTTGTTGTTTTCGGTCTGCTGTTAAATGCAGGGGCGGCTACGCGGCTTCATGATCAACCCTTGGCTAGCGTCACCAACGAAGGTCACTTGACTGCCCGACAGACAGTGGATCCTGCGGCTGGCCGGTATGATACACTTTCTTAGGCCATTCGGAGGCAACAAGTCCAGATGCTAATGACTTCATGGTAGTGTCGTGGTTGCCGCCATTGAGCCGACTAAGAGTGGTCAAATTGGAGTCAACCCGCCTGGGGCTGAGCCTACGTAAGTAAGCCCATCAGAATGTTCAAATGAAATGCAGCAGCTAACTGGTTCTTGTGGATCAACTACAGACCAGGTAAAATAGAGGCACATACGAGATATCTTACGTTGGAACAAGGTACAACAAAGGTGAGGTTGCCCGTCTTTCTCTTTTGTGACTCTTTCGTTGAAACGCAACTTGCCTAGTGGATAGGACACAACTCTCAGTACATTGCGATAACAACTGTCACGTCTGTTGGTTCGGGAGGGAGAGCAGTCGCGACCGTCACGAACGCTATCACTGCATCGAAGAGTGCCGCTGGCGGTCTGAACATCCTGCTGAGCCCCGGACTCAAGGCTAAGCTGGAGGCGATAGCGAAGGATGTAACCACCTGTGCTGCAAAGCACAGGAGACAGCCTCGAAACGTGTTCTATAAGCGTCAGGGGGGACCAGCTTGCGGCTTGGCCGATTACGTACAACGTGTAGCCGCCGACACAGAGCTAAGGAACAGCTTTGCGCGTCCTCTCACAGATCAAGTCTTGACGGAGGAGTACGACTCGGAATATGAAAGTGGTCCAGGAAGCGAGGACGGCTGGATTGACGGTGGCGAGGCCGAGGGTGGAGCTGAGTCTGCCGTGGAAGAGACGATCATCTTTTCATCAGAGGAAGAAGCCGAGGCTATAGGTGCAGCTCTTTCAGGCGGCGAAGCAGCGGCAAATGCAGCTGTCTGGGGGAGCTCTACGATCACAGCCGGCTCGTTTTTGGCCTGGGTTTGGGGACATATCCAAAACGGCAAGGCAATCCCCAACGCAGATGAGATCCCGAAGGAGAGCATCCACAGGGTTACCAAGACCAAAACGTCCACCAGGAGTACTTCAACCTCAAGCAGCAGCTGTCCCACAGGAACTCCGGTAAGACATCCAAATCCAGTTTCGATACCCATCTCTTACTGACAGATAACCACAGCCATCATGCGACGGAGACTGCAAACCGACCAGTGTCAGAGTTGAAGAGCCCAAGGTTACAGGCTTGGTTGATTGGGCTTGTTCTGAAGTGAGTCAAAACATTCGGGTTCAAAACTCTCTCCCCGTAGACATTGTCTAAGGTCCCAAAGAGCCACCGAATATACTGACCTGTAAAAGGGCAGAAGCAAGGGATGCAACTGCTTCCCTAGTGTTGTTACCCAAGTCACCATTTCCGACATCGTCTTTGATCAGGCCGTCCTCGATGCGTTAAAGAATATCAAAGAAGAGTCCCAAGAGCCTCCACAGCCCGATATCAGCATCGAATGTCCCGGCGAGCTCACGAATGTTCCCAGCAAGTTCTTTCTGGAAAACACTTCGAAGACATTTTGCGAAAGGGTAATGAATAATATAGACGCACCGCAAGGACCTACACCGTATGATATTAGTGGTAATGAGATCCCTCGCCTGAAGGCCGCCTTGGCAACCCAGCAACAGACGAAAAGAGGTTTTGTGCAAAGAACACCACCGGAGAATATCGACAATTACCAAGATTACACCATATTTCTGTCATTTCTTCCTCTTGATGACGAATGCCAGGTAGACGACGAAGACGTCTGCAGAAGTGCATGGGATAAGCTTGTCAAGAGCAACTGTGAGCACTCCCAGTCTTCAATACTTGGTGACCCAGGATCAACTGACAAAGAGTCTCATGTTAGGCGGATCAAATCATGGCTCGGCAGGAGACCGCATGTTCAGAAAGGCGTCTATTGACGTGGGCTGCGGCAACTTCACATGGGAGTTGGAGAAGATGGCAGAACCTGCTCCTGAACCTGCTCCTGAACCTGCCCCGAAGCCGACACTCGGTATACGAGAGTGTAATAAGCAATACGAACACCTCGATGTGAATGGAAAAGCTCAGAAACAGTGGTCTTTCATAGGTTGCAGCCTTGATGCAAGAAACAAGAAAATGAAGGAAGGAGATGGAGACATCCACTGGTATGGCCAGCACGCACCAGAACGCGGCAACTGGAGAATCCATTGGATCAACGGTTGCAAGGAAGCCGTTGAGCAAAGCGCTGAGTTTCCTATTGAAGGTGATAAGAGCATCACCTGTGAGAGTATCATGAGAGACAACTATCTATCTTGTATGTCTTGTACCCTTTAACTATTCGCATAGCTTTGTACGCTAATAGTGTCACCCTCACAGGCAACAACGGCGGAACTGGAGGCAAGATTGATGCCGGTTGCTTGCGGTATGAGTTTTATCCCGACAAAAAATCAACATGAATGGATTTGAGATAGTCCCAGAGTTTGGGGAAAGTGAGGACTGTGTGAGACAGTAGGAGTGAGGCGGTCGGGTTCCGAAGAGTGGCATGTTGGAAGTATGTATTGGACCGGTGTTAATCACCTTGATCCACTGGTCGAGGTGCAACTCAAAAACACGGAGAATTCAATCTTTTCAAAAGAGCAAAGCATCAAGCCTATGTCATATTGCATGATACTTTCCTGTTTGAGATTGTATCTCTGTGTCGGCCCATTTACACAGTGTAAATGGACCGTCACATGTCCATATCCCACACAGTGGAGGCTCCCTACCATGCAGACTAGTAACTTGAGATTTGGATACAAGGTTTAATGGGAAAGGCTGACTGGTAATATTTATCAATGTTCAATGCCATAAATATCCACGTTCGATCGTATTGAAGGCGGTTTGTGTATTCAGGGGCAAGCCGAAGCAAAACTAATCATACCACGCGGCAACAGCTAATTGAAGTGAAGCGAGGCATCGCTCAAACAACGACCGTGCAATTTTGATCCAATAATACTTCTCATGCAGCAATCTGACCCTCGTTGGTAAAAACCCTAGCAATTCCGAGCATCCTAGACGCAGGCGCTTTCCTATAGGAGTACCTCCACAAACAACCAACACGATGTAGGCTGGCCTATCTTGCGGCTAGTTGTATTCACACTTCTTCCATCAGAGCCCAATTAGTTCCGTCATAACCGAGCCGAACTTCCCTGCACGATTCGCAGTGTCAGCGAAGCTTAGACGTCGAAGAGAAAAAAAGGGTTCGTACATTTCAGGGGTAGTATTAATTATGTAGTTGCTTCTGTGGTTTGAAAAGAATGGTTCCAAGATTGGATGGAACCTGTCTCCAGATCCTCGCTTGTAAAGTCGCACACCAGACAATGTGACGTCTTCTACAAACCCCTCCTCAGGTCTTATGCATGAGCTCAGGGGTGTGCTGATCGTGACAGAGTTGATCAATCTGAACGGCGAAAGACGATCTCTTAACTCCTCTGTGTTGAATCCTTTAATGCCAAGAAGATCATGATACTCTGAAGGGGTGCGGAAGGAGATGCAACGTGAAGAGATCCATAAATTCAAGATCTGAAGGTTCTCGAATCGGTCAAGACGCAACCAGTGAAAGTCGTAGACGTCGTGGCGATGCGGAATATCTGGAATATCGAAATTGGCGCATAGCAGCTGTAACGGAAAGTCCGGACCAAGTGAGATCTCTACGTTTTGAGCGTACTTAAAGAAGGCCGGGGGTGTAATGCCTGCTTCGGGGAGAGTTTTCTCAAGTGGATGGGGCTCACAGTATCCGAAAAACTTCTGTACACTGGGCATATCGGTGAAAATAAACGTCGTTGACTTGTAAATGGACTGCAGGCACTCTTCGGATCTTTGACTATTAGTGATATGTTACCCTTTTTGGATAATGGCGACTCACATAATTTTGCACAGTGAGAGCATCGGAAGATACGAGGATGAGCAAAGGTTGCTCCCAGGACCACTGCAGCCCCTCTTCCAACAAGAAAGTCCCCAGGTCGATAGTCCCGAGACAGGCTTGATGCCGTGCTTTTCATAGGCAACCTCGCCACAGGGCCAGTGGTTCATCCATGGAGATTGTAAGTATCTGACGTAAGGCGTTTTGATGTCGAAATTCCAGCTGTGAGTCTGAATACACTGACCCAGTGGAACGTTTATGCGGGCTCTCAACTCTTCAAGTTCTTTTTGCAATGGGTCCTGAACATCAAACTCGATGGAGCACGGCCAACGGCAGAAGTGCTGGTGCTCTCCTTTCCCGTGGTATAGAATGTGCTGACGGAGGCCGTGGCTGCGCCAGAGCTCGAGGTAGATAGCATCGCGAATCTCGCGCGGCAGGCGACTCATGAAGGCAGATTGGTTCTGAGTACTGACGGGCATCCTGGCTGATTTGTCGAGTACGGTCCGATGTGATGTGAGCTGTGGTGGAGGTGTACCACAAAAGACCGGACTTGGCCAACGGTACGTTTAAATCAGAACAGCCAACAAGAGAGCCCCCAATCTCAACACGCGACAGTTTAGTGACGGCCAAAACGAGCCGTCGAAGGGTTGTGGCTGCGCCATACTATTATTAGCAATTGACGTTGGGGGTTGGCGGTTCGCATGAGCTGCAGTTGTTTTTCCCGTCATGGGTATTGATTTATGGTCGCATTAGGTCATGCGGCATCGCAAATGCGGATTTGGGCGCTTAGAACGGCCAGCAGCCAATTCGGGCGGGTCAATGGAGCTTCTGTGCCAATCTCTACTAATTAAGGCACCCGACGTTGAAGCACCCATTCGCGTTTAACACTTCCGAAACCCCTGTTAGCTAAAATACGCGATTTCACGGTTTTTTCGCTATAACGCGTTTTTAGCTACCTTTAACTACAAATATCTTAACGAATACTACATATATCTAAGTAAAAAGGATACTACTAATATACGTAGGATTAAAGCTATTGAATAGTATCTTTTTTATTTAGATATATTAACTTTTTATTTTTAATATTCTTCATACTAAGTTCGCCTAATTTTATAAGTTTCATAACATTTCTAGCTCATTACCTCAGTATAAATAACAAAAATAAAAACGAAATATAAATAAATAAAAAAAAGATGCTATTAGATAGCTCTAAGTTCACTAATTATTAAAGTATCTTTTTTTTTTACGATATATACTGTATTCATTGAGAAATTCGCGAAAAAGAGGTCAATTAACGTTAAAAAGCGTGTGTTTGAAAACCCCGAAAATCCCTCACTTGCAGGGGTTTCAGAAATGTCAAACGCGAATGGGTGAGACACCTCGTTTCTATGCAAGTGTTACGACCCGAGAACAAGGATAACAGATAACCGACCTACTTAGACGTTGGGCGGCTAGGACAGGATATTTCTACTGCAGTATTATAGGAACCATAGGGACTCACTTAGAACAGAAGAACTGTAGTATAAGTTATGTGACGATAAGATAAGAAAATAATTAGTAGAGTATAGGAGGAAACGCTCAGTAATTAGTTAGTCTTACTAACTAATTGCAATTACTTTATGTACTTAGGTGATTACCCTAAAAGTAGATAAAGGATACTATTTAGAACTTATATATAGTATAACCTTAAGCTTAGCTTATAGTTAGACTTCTATAGCTCTTTAGTAATTAACTTAGTATTTATCTTTATAGATACTCTTAGCTTATCTTTACTATAAATCACTTATTAAGTTTAGGACTAATCATTTTAGCCTCTAAAAACCTAACCTACTATAGCTTATAACCTATAAATAAGACTATAAACATAATATACTATTATAATATATTAATCCCTAGCTTCTATTAGTAGACCTTATTATTAGATAGCTAATTATAATACTTTAATTACTCTTATTTAGTAATTTAACTATAAATTCCTATTAATAATATTAAATAATATATCTTCTTATACCTCTATTAAGTCTCCTACTCCTAGATCTTCTTCTACCTCTAGGGGAAAAGCTCCTCAGAGCTTAACTTAGGAAATTAAGGACTAGAAAATAAAGGATAACTTAGATAGCAAAGATAATATTAAAGAATGTAAATAACAGCTTAATAGGACTAGTAAGGACTTTAAGAAAAATATAATATGTTTAACTAGAATACTACTACTTTTAAGGAACTTTAGGAATAAGTATATAAGATTTAAGAACTTAAGAAAGAAGTTAATACTTTCTAAGCTACTACTAATATTATCTTAGCTCCAGTTAAAAGATAAGAACGCCTTAAACTTAACACCCCTTCCACTTTTAATAGAACCTTAAGATAACTTAAAAGATACTTAATATAAGTTTAAACCTATTAAGCCTTCTATATAAACACTTTCTAGAATAATATTAAATATATTATATATATAGCTACTTTTTTTTAAAACTAAGCCCTCACCTAATTTAAACCTCTATAGTAGAAATAGCTTAATAACTTAGTTAAGAAGTATAGTGAAGAAGTTAAAAATATCTTCTTTAGCTTCTAAAGATATATTAAAGCTTTAGAATCTCTCTTCCTCAACCTTAACAAGTAAAAATAAACTAAATAAGACCTATCCTACCTCTAATAAACTAAATCTATTACGCTTTACGCTATAGAATTCAGAAAGTTAACCACTAGACTCTATATAACTAATAAAAGTAAGGTTTTTGCTTTCTACTAAAAGCTTAAGGATAAAGTTAAGGATAAGATAGCTAAGTTAGAAATACCTCCTAGTTTCCTTACCTATATTAAACATGCTATTAAAATTAATAACTACCTCTATAAATAATAAAAGAAATAAAGAGAAAAGCAGTAAAGCCTAAACTTAGGATATAAGTACTAATATTAACCCTAATATAAGTTTAATATCTAGCAAAATAATAATAAACCTTATAATAACTAGAGCAACACCTAATAAAGCACTACTTATAAATGATACAGCAGACCTATAAACCTCAGCATAATAACTAAGCCTAATAACAAAACACCTTAGAAACCTAAATATTACAACTGCAATAAGCAAGGACATATCGCCAAAGACTGTAGGCAACCTAAGAAGCTTCCCTAGAAGCTAATAGCTAAATAACCCTAATAAATCAACTTAATCTCAAAAATCCTATACACAGCATAATCCTAGACCAGATGCTATAAAGATAACAATAGAATCCACCTCAAAAATAAGGAAATGTTAGGATATTACCTAAGAGATAGCAACCCTAAACAGTCTAGATATAATATAACTATCCTAGACACTCACCTTAAAACCTTAGCAATAATATATTCCAGCAATAGCAAGGTTGCTAGAAAACTAATAGAATAACTTAATAAGGTGCTATAAATTTAGTAATTAGAACTAATCACCCTATATATAACTAGCTAACAACTCCACCACAAAAAATAATAAATCTAAAAGGAAATAGAGCTAATCTAATAAGAAGACAACAGATAAGTGCAACTATATTAATAAACAGAATCCAAAGAAGAACTAAAACGTTAATATAACCCCCTAGAGGAATAATAATTATTTAACCTCACTAATAACTAGACTTTTAGAAAAAGAGAAAGCTTACCCTATAACTTAAGTGAACCTCATAACGTTATCTAATAATACGCTTAAATAGCAATTACTTATAGACTCACCCCTAAGATAGATAATATTAGTTCTGAAGAAGACTCTAATATAGAGGAAATAATATAGTAACTCTTTTAGTATAAAGAAGTAAACATACTATAAGATAAATAATAATAGCATTTCTATAAAATCTCAGCAGTATAATAAGATTAAGATTATACCCCTAAGCTCCATATAGAAGACTATCTTATACTATAAAGCAGCTATTAATAATATTAAACCTTCTTCTAGCCTTAATATCTCTTTAATAAATATAAAGAGTATACATAAGATAAGTATAACTACTAATTCTACCCTAGAAGATATAATAACAAACCTATTAAGGATATCTATGCTATATATATTATAATTAGATAGATAATAATAACTCATAACAGAAGGATTACTACCTTTTAACTAAGCCTGCAGTTCCCTATAAGATACCAGCATAATAACAACATAAAATAGAATAAATACTAACGCAATAAATACTAAGTCTATTATCAAGATAAGGCCTACGCATAGAGAATTATAAAGAACAGACCAAGACCTCCTTAGGTTAAAATCTATGAGAACAGCTTCACTAAGGCAGTATGGGAGGAAAAACGTATCACCTACCTAGGATAACTAAAGTAGTTAAAAAACTAGACTTACCTACTAATAATAGATCATAATAGGCAGTAAGGAAAAAGTTTATTTATTAAATATCATAAGGACATAAGGGTAATATAGAACTTAAAGTTACTATTACCTAATAAATAATATTTATGCTGATTAACAGCAGAGCTGAAGCTAATTATATCACCCCTTAAGCTATTGATAAGCTAGAAGTATAATAGGGAGGGAAGAAATAACTATACCTCTTATATATAACAGAAGGAGAAGAATTTAAGTATAAAGGAGGTACTATCTATAATAAGATTCCACCCCTTAAGATAAGCTACCTAGATTAAAAAGAAAGAATCTAATTTAATATTATTAATATAAGAATATATAATATAATACTAAAACTACCCTAGCTATAAATAAATAACCTATAGATAGATTAAAGTAAAGGCTAACTTTATTAGGACCATAATAATTTAGTCCTTAAGCAGCCCTATTAGAATTAGGCTTTAAATAAATTAATATTATAGTAAAGAGCAGCAAAATAATACCTCTACTGTCACAGGCTAGAGCCTGGATTGATATCTCCGGCTTTGCTGGAGCAATTACTGAGATCCAGCTCCGTTGGACCCACTACTCTGCTGCGTTACACCGCCTAACCCGGTCTGCTTCACTGCTGTTAGGTGCCTACTCTTGTAAAGTCCTTTCTTCCTTCTTCAGCTTAGAATAGTTAATCGACGGCACCTCTACGTTGAATAAGCCTAGGGGCCAGCCCCTTACATATTCTAAGCTTAACAACAAAAGACGCTATATGAAACCTCACGAGAGCGATACGACTGATTCGCTAGAGGGTAGCGCAACGAGAAAACGCTATATGAAACCTCACGAGTGCGATACGACGATTTGCGAGAGGGTAGCGCAACGAGAAGACGCTATACGAAACCTCACGAGTGCAACATAATAGATTCGCCTGAGGGTAGCGCAAACGACGCGATAACTGCAGAGATTAACTGCAGGGTTAACGAAGCAGTCAACATAAGTATACATCCTCTTCAGGACCAGATGATGCAGCTCTTAACAGCTCTGAACAGGCTTATATCAACAGATAGAGCGACCCCTACGCTGCTTACGAGCAGCATACCTACACTGTCCACTGCCGATACAACTATACAGGTAATAAGCGACGGTATAATAATAGCAACGGAAGGGCGAAAGAAGCCCCTGCTAAACCCCCCGAAGTTCATAGGAAGGTGTAAGGACTACGCAGCATAGGCCCAGCAGATGCGCGACAAGATAGAGCTAGATGCAAGGTATATTGGCAGTAATACTGATATCTAGTACTTTATTAACTCCTGCCTTAATAGCGGGCCACAGCAGGTTGTAGCTACCTTCTACGCAGCAGGAGGTCCAGGTGGGCAGAAGGACTCTATTGAATTCCTGAAGTACCTTGACTGGACGTATAAGGACCTAAATACAGATCTACAGGCAGCAACCACGCTACGAACCTTTTGCTAGCGAGACGATCAGTCTCTATCCTCCTTTCTACCCCAGTTTGAGCGAACACTAGCTGAGGCTGGTGGCGCCAACTAGGCAGATAAAGCTAAGATAGCCTTCTTTGAAGGGGCCCTTAGTACTTATCTTAAGAGGGGTCTGATCTATATTGAACTTCCTAAGGATGACTACCACAGATGGCTTCTCAAAGTTCAGGATTTCGCTATCAAGCTTAAAAGCCTACCTCAGCAGGCGCATAAGGGTACCCCACCTTATTTGAAAGCACTATAACCTGGCTAACAAGACGCAGACGGAGATGTAGCGATGTCTGGCGTTAGCCGCGCTAAGGGCAAGGAGAGGGTAAGGCCACATCGCCGACATAGCAGCTCCTCCTCATCTGAAGACCTGCAACAACCAAAGAAGGACAGTCGCCGTTATTATAACTGTAACCAGATCGGCCATATCGCTGTATGGTGCCCTAGGCGGAAGCCTCTCAGCCCTACGAAGGCTAAGAAGGTCAAAAAGGTTAAGAAGGACCTTAAGCCTGAAGGAAGCAGTAATAATAGTGCTATAGAGGAGCCAGGAAGTTCTGAGGCTGAAGAAAGCTTAGGAAAAGAGTAACTCTAACGCAAAGTTAGGCGTTAGAGGCAAAGCCTAGTGATATCACAGAATAGAAGCAGTTTAAGCATCGCATAAGCAGCAAGTTAGCAGTGATCACTACCTGCATACATAAGGGCACTTAAGCAGACGCCTTAGTAGATACTAGGTGTAACCTATACGCCCTTATCGACCACAACCTTGCCTGTAAGCTCCGCCTGCTAATAGTAGATCGCTCTGAGCGGGTACTAGGCAGCTTTAGCGACATTACAGGCGCTACGAAAGCAACAGGTGTAGTTATCTTTAACCTCAAGCTGTGCAGTTATGATGAGAAGATCTTTATGTATACCATATGTAGCCTTAGCGACAACCTGTTCTTAGGGAAACCCTGGATGGAGAGGAACTATATATTATATGATGCTGCTGCCTAGCGTATACAGCATAGGAGGGGTGGTGTAGACTTACGTCTAAAAGGCGAGGAAGAGCCAGAGCAAGTGCGCCAGATCAGGGCTGACCGCCTCCTCCCAGGAGCCCCTTTTGCAACGCTCTATAGGAGGGCATAACAACAAACCAAAGGAACTGCAGGATATAAAGTTTGAGCGATCAGCTTAGCAGATATACAGAAGGCTCTTATGAGGAAGACTGAGAAGGCAGACCTAAAGGCCCTCCTTCCACCAGCTGTACTAGCTGAGTTCTAAGAGCTATTCCAACCTGACGAAGCTGCTAACCTTCCTCCGCATCGCCCTAGAGTCGACCACACGATCCCTATCAAACAGGAGAGCGACGGCAATAAGGCTGCACTACTATGGGGGCCGCTCTACAGCATGTCACGAGAAGAGCTTCTCGTCCTCCATAAGACCCTGAGAGACCTACTAGATAAAGGCTTTATCTACGCTAGTAGCTCAGAAGCATCAGCCTTAGTACTATTTATATGCAAACCAGGTGGAGGGATATATTTTTGTGTTGACTACTGCGCCCTTAACGAACTTATAAGGCGCAACTGATACCCTCTTCCTTTGATTCGAGAGACGCTATAGACTGTCAGCGCTGCTAAGTGGTTCACTAAGCTAGACGTAGTAGCAGCGTTCCATAAGATCCAAATCGCAGAGGGAGAGGAGTATAAGACAGCCTTCTAAACAAGATATAGGCTATTTGAGTGGCTTGTTGTTCCCTTTGGGCTCATAGGAGCCCCTGCTATGTTTCAGCGATATATCAATAGCGTACTTCAGGAGTACCTAGACGACTTTGCGACAGCATATATGGACGACATCCTGATCTACTTAAATAGCTTAAGGCAAGACCATAAAGCAAAGGTTAAGCTAGTACTACATAAGCTTGCCGCCGCAGGGTTACATCTAGACCCCCATAAGTGTGCGTTCTCTGTTAAGACAGTTAAGTACCTAGGGTTTATCATCACTACAGGTGTAGGTATCTCTTACGACCCTGAGAAACTGAAAGCAATTAAGGAATAGGCTGCGCTAAGGACGGTTAAGGGAGTCCGAAGCTTCCTAGGATTTGCAAACTACTACTGAATCTTCATCCCAGCATACTCAGAGATCGCTGGACCCCTAATAGCTCTTACAAAGAAGGGTGTCCTCTTCTGCTGGGGTAAAGAACAAGAAGCAGCATTCCAGGAGCTTAAGAGGATCTTTGCAGCTAAGCCTGTTCTACACCAACTCAACCCTAAGCGTACAACCTACGTTGAGGCTGACTGCTCAGGCTTCGCCCTTAGAGGAGTACTGTCATAAGAAGATAAGCACAGAAGACGTCACGCAGTAGCATACCACCTTCAGCGGCTTAACGCTGCCTAGTTCAACTATCCAATACATAATAAGGAGATACTAGCTATTATGAGCTGCCTATAAGAATAGAGAGCAGAGCTACAGATTGTCAGCCACTTTAGGATCCTATCAGACTATAAGAACCTAAAGTACTTTATGACGAAGCAGAAGCTTATAGAACAGCAAAGCTGATAGGCAGAGGAACTATCTCAGTATAACTTTGAGATATAGTACCAGCTAGGAAGTAAAGCAGTAGTGCTAGACGCACTCTCTAGATGCAAACAAGACGTACCTATATCTCTAGAGGATGAGCGCGAATAAGGCTGGATTCTCCAGCTTCTTCCCGAAGTAGCCCTTACCTCAACGCGTACACGACGCATAGAGGCAGCCCTATTAGTGCTTATGTTCACTGACGATAAGGAACTATAGCAACTCTGGGACCAGACCTAAGGGTAAGACTAAGTCTACCAGCAGGCATATAATGCTGTGAAATAACGAGAAAGAAGCTTCCCTCCTAGCCTCAAGCTAAAGGTCCAGATTGCTGAGTGTGAGATCGATAATAGTAACCAACTACTATTCAGAGACTAGATCTAGGTACTAGGTAGTGAAGACCTAGATAGCAAGGCGAACACACTACATACTTATATCGTTCAAAGCAGCTATAACTTAGTACTTAGTGGACACCCTAGTAGAGATAATACCTTTGCGTTAGTCAGTAGGCGCTTCTACTAGCCTGGCTAGTTATAGCTAGTATGACGCTTCTGCTGCAATTGCGATAGCTGCAGGCGAAGCTACATCTGGAGAGAGTATCAAAAAGGACTTCTGAAACCTCTACTAATACCGCAGCGTATATGAAGCAACCTCGCTATAGATTTTATTACCAACCTTCCCCTTACAGATAAGGGTGAGGGATACCTTTGGGTAATTATCGACCAGCTAGGAAAAGGTGTAACCCTTGAAGCTATAGAAAGTATGGAAGCTGAAGCCTGCGCTGAATGATTCCTAAGCTGCTACTTCTGCTTCCACGGCGTCCCTACTTTAATTGTGAGCGATAGAGGAAGCAACTGGACGAGCTGCTTCTGGCGGCAATTCTGCAAGCTTTTAGGAATAGAATAGCGGCTCAGTACTGCCTATCACCTATAGACTGATGGCAGCCTAGAAAGGATGAACCAAGAGATCTAGGCCTACCTACGCAATTATATTACCTACTTGCAGAAGGATTGGGCGAATAACCTCCCAGCAGCTCAACTAGCGCTCTGCAGCTGCGATAGCAGCGCTATAGGCATGACCAGCTTCTTCTTAGAACACGGATACCACCTAGAGCCTGTCCGGGTTCAAGAGGCAGACCCAGAAGACCATGAGGGCCCTCGTGAGGACCTGGCACGCAAGTTGGTAATAAGGCTCCAGGACGTGATGGATATAGCACGGTCGACCCTTGCCTCAACGCAGCAACGCTATGAGGAGCTGGCTAATAGGAAGCGCCAGCCTACGGAGAGACTAGAAGCAGGCGACAAAGTCTGGCTTCACATAGGCTACTATAGGTCCCTTAGGCTATGCAAGAAACTGGATTAGTTGCACTATAAGTATACCGTTACGAAGGTTATCTCACTATACGTGGTAGAGCTTAATATGCCAACGGCTATATACCTACGCTTCCACGTGGATACCCTGAAGCGTGCAGGTAACGACCCTTTACCTGGGCAAACGCTAGATGACGAGCAGCTGCCACTAATTATAGATGACGAAGGCGAGGAGACCTGGAATGTAGAGAGTATCGACGCCGCTACCTGGAAGCGTCGAGGGCGCGGGCGACGCTGCGAAGTTCTGGTTAAGTGGGAAGGATACGCAGAGAGGACCTGGGAGCCTATTGAGACGCTCTAGGGGACAGAAGCATTGGAGGCTTATGAACGCCGTTATGGCTCCGCGATGGAGCATGATGGAGACCCAGCCTTAGGGCCGCGGGCACGCCGCCAGAGGGGAGCGGGGGGGTAATGTCACGGGCTAGAGCCCGGATTGATATCTCCGGCTTTGCCGGAGCAATTACCGAGATCCGGCTCCGTTGGACCCACTACTCTGCCGCGTTACCCCGCCTAACCCGGTCTGCTTCACCGCTGTTAGGTGCCTACTCTTGTAAAGTCCTTTCTTCCTTCTTCAGCTTAGAATAGTCAATCGACGGCACCTCTACGTTGAACAAGCCTAGGGGCCAGCCCCTTACACTACTACCTTAAGGCGAAAGAGGCTATATCCTAACTACTAATAATAATAGATCTCTACTAAAAAGGTAATCTACTTCTATTTATCCTAACAGAATATAGAGTTTATAAGAAACTCTTCATAGCTAAACTAGAGACTAAACTGCCTAAATATATTAGTTTTAACTATAAAATCCCCCTTAAAGAAGGAAAAAAAACTATATTTTAATAAGATCAATAGATTTAACTAAATAGAAATAGAAGCCTTAGATAAATACCTTAAAGAAAACCTTAAAAAAGGTAATAACCTAATTAGAATAAAGCAAAAAGAAGAGTAGAAGACCACCTTTAGAATATAAAGAGGATATTTCAAATACCTCATTATACCTTTCAGTCTTACTAACACCATTATAACCTTCTAAAATATAATTAATCAAATCCCATATAAATATATTAATATTTATATAGTAATCTACCTAAATAATATCCTTATCTTCTCACTTATATTTAAAAACTATAAAAAGGATGTTTACTATATCTTATAAGCTCTTTAGGAAGCTAAGCTACTAATAGAACTAAAAAAAAGCAAATTCTATATATAGAAAGTAGAATACCTCAGATTTACTATTATACTTAGAAAGGTTTATATATTAGAAAGTAAAGTTAAAGCTATTAAAAAATAGCTAATACCAAATAACCTTAAGGAAGTCTAAGGATTCCTAGGTTTTATTAACTTCTACTATAAATTTATAAAAGATTATAATAAGATTAATATAGCTCTTATTAGCCTAAGTTATAAAAATACCCCCTTTATATAGGAAGAACTATAATAAACAGCCTTCTAGAAGATTAAGGACCTTATTACTAGTAAACCTATCTTAATTATCCTAGACCTAATAAAACAGTTTAAAGTAGAACTAAACGCCTCAGACTACACCTTTAGAGTGTAACTCTTATAATAAGACTTAGAAGGATAACTACATCCATATACCTTCTTCTCTCATAAGCTTTATAGACCTAAGCTTAACTACTTAATCTATAATAAGGAACTTATAGCAATTATTAAAGTCTTTAAAAAATAGAGACTAAAACTCTTAGGAGTAATTCACAAAATACTTATTTATTCCAACTATAAGAACCTCTCACACTTCACCACCTCAAAAATATTAAATAGATAATAAATATGATAGTTAGAATTCCTTTTAGAATTTAATTTCTAAATTATCTATTAGAAAGGATCTAATAATAGTAGAGCTAACGCTCTTAGCTAATAACTAGACTATAATATCTTAATACCTAAAAAGACCTAAGTGATTCTCAAAAGAAATAGTAATAAAGACTTAGAAATAACTATAATAATAGTATAGAGAAAAGGTTACTAGAGAATATATAGCAAAAGTAATTAAGGATTATAAGGTTTATTTTAAAAATAAGCCTGCTTAATATTAACCTTATAGTATATGATAACCTTTATTTATATTACAAACCGCCTAGTAATCTATATTACTTAACTTTATTATTAAACTACTAAAGTCCTAAAAACCCCTTATAGGAGTATATTTTAATAGTATCCTTATTATTATGGACTGACTTATAAAATATGTTTACTTTATCTTATATAAGAAATTAAGTACTACTAAAAAATATGCTTATATATTTCTTAAGTATATTATTATTAACTATAGAACCCCTAAAGAAATTATATTAAATAGAGATAAGATCTTCACCTCTAAGTTTTAAAAGTTAATAATATTATAACTTAGTATTGAATAATTAATATCTATTATATTCTACTTATAGACTAATAGATAAATAGAAAGAATTAACTAAATCCTTAAAATATACCTCTATATTTTTATTAATTATAACTAAGATAATTAGATAGTATTACTACTAATAGCCTAATTTGTTTATAATAGCATAATTAGAAAAAGCACTAAGGAATCCCCCTTCTACCTTAACTATAGATTTAAACTAACTACCTATAAAAATATATAACTAAGCTTAGCTATAGTTAAAGCTATTACTTTAATATAATAAATTAAGGATATTTAAGATAATATATATAAAGAACTTAAATTTATATAATAGCTAATAGTATAGTTTAGTAATTAATAAAAGATTAAAGGACTAACCTTAAAAGAGGGAGATAGTACCTACCTTATATAGCAAAATATTAAGATAAAATAACTAAGTAATAAACTAAACTATAAAAAGCTTAGACCTTTTAGGATCTTATAAGTTATTTCACTAGTTAACTATAAACTTATACTCCTTAAAACTATAGAGTATTACTTAGTTTTCTATATCTCACTTTTTAAACTAATATTATGCAGATTATAAATAAATAATATTATTATTATAAAGATAATAAACTAAAGTATAAAATAGAATAAATTATTAACTATCTTAAAAAATTAGAAGGATATTAATACCTTATTAAATAGAAAGGATATAAATATAAAAATAATGTATAAGAATTAGTTAAGAATATTACTAATATAGTAGAAAAACTTATAATCTATTAGTAATAATATTAAGAATAGGAAATTACACCTATATCAGCTAAAGCAGTCACTTTAATAAACACCTCAAGCTACTTATAAATTAATTACCTCTATAGATATATCAAACTACTAATAGAAGTAAACTAATTAAGATAAAGAAAACTATTAGTCTGCTTAAAAACCTTAGAATATAACTAAAGCTCCCCTAATAAGAAATTTAAAGTACTAGGATTCTAATTGAGGATAGTCTTAAGGTCTAATATACTAA